CTTGAAGGAGGCAAAACCATTCATTGAAGATGGGGTCCACCCTCAAAATCTGATAAGAAGTTATCGAACAGCTTCCTTTATGGTAAATTTCCTGAATCTTTTTTTTATTATTATATAGTAATGATTGTATTTATTATTTGTTCCTGATTTAGGTCTTTTGAATTGAAACTTTCTGTTACAGGCAATTGAGAAGATCAAAGAGTTAGCTGTAAGCATAGAGGGAAAAAGTTTAGATGAAAAGAGAAGCTTATTAGCTAAATGTGCTGCTACAACACTCTCTTCCAAGCTAATAGGAGGAGAGAAGGACTTTTTTGCAAAAATGGTGGTGGATGCTGTTATTGCAATTGGAAATGAAGATAGGTTGAACATGATTGGAATAAAAAAGGTGTGAATTCTCAACACTAAACTTTAAAAGTGTGTAAAAAATTACTATTAAACCAGTATAATTTATGCTTCTTTGTAGGTGCAAGGTGGGACAATGAGGGATTCATTTCTTGTGAATGGTGTTGCATTTAAGAAGACTTTTTCATATGCTGGATTTGAACAACAACCCAAGAAGTTTTTGAATCCAAACATACTTTTGTTGAACATTGAACTGGAACTAAAATCAGAAAAGGAGAATGCTGAGATAAGGTGGATATTATTTGTTTAGTTTGATTATGATTTGACATTTGACATTTGACATTTGACATTTTAAAAACAGACTTTCAGATCCATTGCAATATCAGTCTATAGTTGATGCAGAATGGAATATCATTTATGATAAGTTGGATAAATGTGTCAAGAGTGGTGCCAAGATTGTTCTTTCACGTCTTGCTATTGGTGATCTGGCTACACAGGTTGGCATGCATTGACTCTCTTTTGACTTTTCCACAAATGAAATTCAGTTTTTAAATGTTTTTTTTTTTTTTTTTTTTTTTTTTGTTATCAGTATTTTGCAGACAGAGATATCTTCTGTGCTGGAAGAGTTGCTGAAGATGATCTGCACCGAGTTGCAGCTGCAACTGGAGCTACTGTACAGACATCTGTTAACAATGTTATAGATGAGGTCAGCCTCTTGACTCTTCTACTTTATATTATTATTATTATTGTTTTTTTTTTAAATGTTCCATTTCTTTTTTTTGGAAAAGGTTCTTGGATCTTGTGAGATTTTTGAGGAAAAACAAGTTGGAAGTGAACGATTCAACATATTTAGCGGATGTCCTTTAGGTCAGACAGCCACTATTGTTCTTCGAGGTGGAGCTGATCAGGTTTTTTTTTTTAATCTTTTTTCTAAAGTCATTTTGTAATTTTTAGTGGATTTTGATTCTGATATTAAAAGTTTGGTTGAATAAAAAATAGTTTATTGAGGAAGCAGAACGGAGTTTACATGATGCAATCATGATAGTAAGGCGGGCCATGAAGAATTCCACGGTGGTTGCTGGTGGTGGTGCAATCGATGTAATTATTTGTATTTTAATAAGAAAGTGATCAAATAATTTAGTAGTGTTAGTGTTTATGATGATGTCATAATTAATTTGAATTTTTTTTTAAACTGCAGATGGAGATAAGCAGGTACCTGTGGCAACATGCAAGGAATATAGCTGGAAAGTCCCAGCTATTTATAAATGCTTATGCTAAAGCACTTGAGGTAGTTTTTTATTATTATTTTAAATTATGGTTTGTTTATCTAATAATAATAATACTAATAATTAATAAACAGGTTATCCCACGTCAACTTTGTGATAATGCTGGATTTGATGCAACTGATGTACTTAACAAGCTGAGGCAGAAACATGCACTTGCTGCTGGTTGGTGTTGGTCTTTTGCATATTATATTTTATTTATTTATTTTCTAAATCATTGTATAAATACAGGTGAAGGTGCCCTTTATGGAGTGGATATTAACACAGGTGGAATTTCAGATTCCTTTGCCAACTTTGTGTGGGAGCCAGCAGTCGTAAAGGTAACTAACTGGTTTCTTTGTTGATGTTGTTTAAGACTTGTTTTTAAAAAAAAAAAAAACTAAAGTAACTTGCTTTGATTGTTACCTACTGCAGATAAATGCTATAAATGCTGCAACTGAGGCAGCATGCCTTATACTAAGTGTTGATGAGACAGTCAAGAACCCAAAGGTAAATACAATCTTATGGCCAAATTTCTAAAAACCCTCTTTTTTCTATATGAATTATTTATTTTATTATTTCTACATTAAGTTGAAAAGACGTTGATGCCCTTCTTACCTTGTCAGAAATAACCCTAGAAAGACAAACACAACCTTAAATCAAAAGAAGGTTATACTTGTTTGTTAATAATAATAATAATAATAATAATAATAATTGGTTTGAATTGTAGTCGGAGAGTGCACAAAGCGATGCCGCTGGTATGGGCAGAGGCCGTGGTGGCGGTGGCATGCGTGGCGGACGTGGAAGAGGGATGCGAAGACGTTAAATGAAATCATTTATTAGGGAGGGAAAGGGTATGAAAGTAATTTTGGGTTTTGACCGAAAAGACGTTAAAACATTTTCGAATTTTGTTTGCTGTTTTTTTTTTGTCGGTGTATTAATTCTGTATGGATGGAACTTGTGTTTTGTAGCTGCTTGGGGTTGGGTTGAATAGGATTATTTTTAAGTTTGAGTATCTTTTGTTTGCTTGCTTTTGTAGAGCTTCAATTAGTTTGTTGGATCTTCGAAAAAAAAAAAAAAAACTCAGGTGCAAGGGCTTGACCTTCAGTATCAGAACCATTTACGCTTCTGCTCTTAGTTTGCTTTGCTCACAGTTCAAAGCAATTAGCCAATTACTATATTCCGATATCAAAAATGAATTGGAGTGCATGGGGTTTCTTTGAATCGAGTTTTTGCAAGAACGATTATCGGAGTGACAATCACCTTACTTCCTTCTGATTCAAGTCTCTTCGGTGTTGTTTGTTTTGGAAGTGATTAAATGTCTTTTGTCTTTTTCCAAGTTTACGGAAGAAGACGTGCACTTGCGAAACGTCTATCCGCCAGAAGGGAAAAATGCTCAAAAAGTACTTTTGTAGAAAAACAAACGAGGCCTTCGTCTCCACACTTTTCAGAAAAGTCTTTTAGTGCATACAACTCAATGCTCAATGTTTATTTCTTAATAAAGAGAAATCTACTATATACCTAGAACGATATAGGCGACACTTTTTTTTTATAATAAAAATATTTTACAGATGCTTGTTTTGACATTTATTTTATGATCTGGCAGATACATACATGTCCGTAGGTTGTGCTTTATTCATGTGTTTTTGATCGTATATGTTTTCCTTCTTGTTTTTAAAGCATTTCCTCTTATCATGCGTTTGAAAATTATAGTATTTAAAACGAACCAATTACTCATAAAGACCAATTTTTATAATCAATATTTAAAGGTACCAAGTTTAGTTTTGTAGTTACACATGGACTTTGACCAACAATCACTAAACTGCATTCCCAAATCAATATTAATAACAACAAAACGTTTATAAAAAGTAATTAAGTTTGTAGATATTGGAAAAACATTATTTACTGTAATTAGAAAATATGATTTTTCACCCAACTTAAGAAAAGTGTAGATCTGGATATATATGATCCATGTGTAATATTTAAATAGGTTGCGGTTAGATTTTGACAAACGTGTCGTGTCCTGTCAAGACATTAAACGGATTGATATGGTTTGACCATAACCTAACATGTTTAATTATCGTGTCGTGTCATGTCAACCTGTTGATTTTCGTGCCGGGTTTCAGGTTAAAGTTTAGACCTTGTAAATGTGTTGTCATGTCGGGTTAAAACATTTTAAATGTTAGAAAAGTAGGAGACGAGGAGGCAAAAAGGAAAAAATGAAACACTAGAGTTAGGACTGTAAACAAATTGAACGTTCAAACAAACTGATCGTGAACCGTTTGACATGAAGTTTGTTTATGTTCGTTTATTTAATAAATGAAAGGACATGAACACCAATTCTCGTTCGTTTAGCTAAACGAACGAACATGAACAATGATCTCATTCGCTCAATTATGTTCATGAACATGAACGTTCGTTTATGTTGTTCATCTACGTTCGTTTATATTCGTTAATTTAAGTTCCTTTTATGTTCATATATGTTCAGTTGTGTTTGATTACATTACTATATTATATGTTAGTTTATATTCAAATATGTTCAATTATGTTTCTTTATCTCAGTTTATTTATGTTTGTTTGTTTATATTCGTTTAGTGTGTTCACGAACGAACATGAACAATAAAAAACGTTCGTTTATCAATTTGTGTTCGTTTATTTGTTCGGCTAACTTAAAACGAACGAACATGAACTAGCCTTTGTTCGTGTTCATTCGGTTCGTTTACAACCCTAACTGGAGTTGGGAGGTGGAGCGACAAAATTCATAGTTACTTAGAAGGAAAAATGGAAAGAATTAGAGTGAGAGAGCAAATGATGATGAGTAAAATTTAATCACTTCAAAAGTTTGAATTTTAATTTTAATTCTTGAATTAGGTCCACTAAAAGTCTATAATATATAATATACTTATAAAAATATGAAATTATAAAAAATAATATATAATTAAACGAGTTGAAAGTCTTGACCCTAACCCAAGCTATTTAATTTCCGTGTCATGTCGTGTCAACCCAATTACTTAAATGCGTCGAATCTCATACCCAAACCCCAAACCTGCTAATTTTGTGTCGGGTTGGGTTGTCGTGCACGCAGTGTCAGGTTTGCGGTTGTGGTTTCCTTGAAGAGTATATTTTATATAATCCAAATTGAAGCAAAGATAAATGAAATATTTAAGTCTCTCAAAGTAAGGTAGTTGGAACTTGAAAAATAGAAGCGATGAGTTATCTTGTCATAAATTTTCAATGCTGAATTAAAATATATTTCAAAAATAATTCCAACAAAAGGGACATATGTACAGAAGATGTAAATTCCTTTAGAAATAGGCAGAGTCCGAGTCCATATAACAAACACAGCCCAACAAAAACACTGGAAACAGAAATGTGTGGATGGGGGCAAAAACTTGATTATACAACTTGATGCTCGGAAATCCGGATTCCATGTTTGGGACATCCATCAAAATTTTTTACAGGAATTTGAGCTTCAGGTAGGCATGAAGTTATGGATTAGTTCTGAAATGATAACATACCCTGCACCTCCGATTACTAAAGAAAGAGTGAACCTACCACCAGGTACAAGCTCTGGAAGATTTAAACAAATACTTGTACTTGTACTTGAGTATCTATCTGACCAAGACATTGCAGCAGGAACAACACCAAACAGCACCAGAACTACACAAACATCATCATGCAACCAAGCTGTTGTTTCCTTTTCACTTGATATAAATCATCATCATATAATATATAACTACATACATACATACCTCCATAAGTTCCAGCAAAATCCAATGCTTTGAAAAAGATGTCAGGGTCTAGCAACGACAGTATTAGTGGTGGAAACAATGTCAGCAAGTATGGAAGTGGTCTGCTTCTATCAGATGGAAGTTTCAACACTGTAAACACAGAGACAAAAAACATGCTTAATTAATTAATCTAAATCAACTAAAAAACAGGTAAACGTTTGTACTGCTTTTGGACTGATGTTAATGGAACAAACATTATACCCACCCCAAAAAGGTGGAACAAGATAGACCTATGTAAAAGACGTGAATGCCCTCATCATCACCCTAATTAAAAAGTATCTATAAAACGCTTGTTTCATCTCCTGTGCCACAACCTTCCAGAAAGGTGGCCAAAACTGAATGCAAGAAATAGCAATGTACTTTCCTTGATTTGTTTATTAAAGCATCTTACTCTATTTCTATTAAGTAAAAAATGTACTTAATTATAGCAAATTCAACAAAGTACAATGGAGTTTTCACTGCTATAATTGCATAGGTTTTTCCAAGTGTAATGACCTAATATGCTAAATAATGAAAGTACAATGCTGTAGATTTTTCAAAGCACAATACCTTAATAAGAACTGAAGTACAAAAAATGTAAGAAATAGCAATGTATGTTTGCTGATTTGTTTATTATAGCATCCTACATTCATTTCTTCCTATTATAGTATTTGTAGTTTGAAAAATCTACCCAATTATAGCAAAGGAATTTTCACTGCCATAATTGGGTAGATTTTTCCAAGTATGATGCCCTAATGAAAGTACAATTCTATAATTCGGCAGATTTTTCATTATACAATTCCTAATATTAAAAAAAAAAAAAAAAAAAACTTCAAAGTACAACAAAGAAATGACAGTAGGATGCTATAATAAACAAATAAATGAAAGCACATTGCTATAACTTGACAAAAAGCATGCCAGACTGGCTATAATATAATAGAATCCATAAAATATCGCTGTTTTTTTAGAAAGTGAGTAATTTCAATAAAGACAATCAAATAGTAATTTTGGTGGTGCAAAGATTATGATGAGGAAGAAACTCACAGTCAGATAGGAAGTCAGAAAGGCCCAAAACAAATCCAATATAAGAAGTTGCAATGGCAAGAAGTGAGAATGCCCCAACAATCGGCTGCATGATAATTTATAAATCTAGTAAGGGTTGAATGCAAGAAATAGCAACATACTTTCATTGATTTATTTATCATAGCATCATACTTTGAAAGATATGCCCAATCATATACAAAGCAATTCTCATTGCTATAACTGGATAGAGCATTAAGATATAATAATAAGGAAAAATGTGAAAATACAATGCTGTAATAGAAATAAATATGAATGAAAGTAGGTTGCTATTTCTTGCATTTAGTAGTTATTATGAATTAGTAATTTAATTACTGACCCCAACAACTCCATTAGTAGCTAGCAACTGTTGCAATGGGTCAGCAAGCTTATGATCCATGCCTGTTTCAGGATTAGTGATTGTGATTGTTCCAAGAATGACACCATTCCAAACAAGAAACAGCCCAAGGGGAATCGCAGTGCCTACAACAATCGAACTCCTGCACCCATGTTTTTTATAATAATACCAAACATTTCAGATTATTTAATCTGACTTAGGTGCTTAATTCAGAAACAACGACTTAATGTATAAAGTCATGGAAATGAGGCTTTCTACATATGTCGTCTAAAAAACCATTCTTTTGCATAGTTGGAAAAAAAAAAAAAATTACTAAAATAATCTAATAGTTCAGTAGATATCATCTTCATATACCATGCTAGCATTAAAAATATAAATAATTACCTTATTTTTGACAGGTCTCCTTCCAGATTTGTACAAAGAACAGGCACTACATTCTGAAAAGAACACGGTTTAATTAATTACTGTATTAAATACATGATATGTAGTCAAGTAAGAAATGAAATTATTACCTGATAAACAAAAGAGAGTGCTATTATAGGTATACTTGTGGGAATAGCTTGCAAATTAGCTTTCAAAAGAGCATCCCACTGCAAATCTCCACCTGCAACTGCCTAAATATCAACAAATTATGAAAAATCTCACTATGAGCAAGAAAGTAACATGGATTTACCAAAAAAATTATTAAAATTACCACAAGAGCTGAAAAGGAAATTATAATGCCAGATACTAAAACTCCATTAACTGCCCCAATAACTCGCTGGCTACATCAAAATATAAACCTTTCAGTCACTTGTGTTATTTGTGAAGTTGCACCAAAAAATATAAAAAGGGTGAGCTTTTTTTTATTTCATGAAAGCATGTTGCTATTTTTGCATTTAACCTTATTATATGAAAGCTAAGTTAACAAATTAAATCAAGAAATGATCAAATATGATTTGTTTGTATAGATATGGTAAAAGAAGAGAGATGAAGATAAGGCAATAACCACCTTCCAAAGTAGCAAATGCTGCCCAAGAGAATTGAAAACAGAGATGCACATTCCCATCTGCAATCATAATTAAAAACCAAACAACATACAGGAAGGACCTCTTAATATGATTTCACAGAATTTATTATCACCCACAAATGGGAAATCATGATGATATAATTTGTAGCATCAAAATAAGAATATCAATCTAAGAACCACGTGTTCTGTTAATATGCATCAAGTAGAGAATTAAGAAACATGTGCTGTTATCAGATCAAAGATCTCATCCAAAAGCATGAAGATTATATGAATGCAAAATTGTTTATGAGAGATTAAATCATACACTGGAATGCCAAGGATATTAGTCAAGATGTCTGATGAACGAGCCACATACGCAACAAGGAGGGCATAATGTATAAAAATATATGACCAGCTGCAAAAAAAGAAACATGAAAAGGCTTTAGGAAACAAGTTCAGGAAAAAGAAGCTGTTTACAAATTAATATGATATGGATCAAGAGATATAGTCATCTAGAGTTAAATTAGGTGAAACTACAATCCTATTTCTTGCTTTTAAGTTTTAACCCCTATTATATATAATCAATAATGATAAATAACGCATTAAACATAAGCAATCACTAAACTCAGTTTTGGAACTATGTAGCCTAATTAACATAATCAGATTCAGATCATCTTACCAAGTAATCTGAACTCCAATAGTACCAAGTGTTCTTGTAGCCATTGATACCTGAAAAACAAACATGCAAGTAGTTATGAAATTAAATATATATATTTTCATCTTGTGTGATCAAGTGACCTATGACCCAATGGCAAGTGTAAATTTGATAGCAAGACTTAATCAGGTAAGCTATTAGCTATGTATGGGTGTTCTTTCTTTTACTTAATGCAGATAGAGTGACTTAATAGAGAAAGTCAGGGCAAATTTCTCCTCTTTATATTTTTTTCCTTCCCTTTTCTCAAATATTTTACACAGTAACCTCACACCAGTTAAGGTACAGTCAAATTAGAAAGACCATAGGATACAAGTTATGTTTCATTCTATTGAGGAATGGATTAAAATTAACTTCTAATAGATAATTATTGAAATTACCAATGATACACCACCAGAGCCCAGTTCGCACATTGTCTTTACATTTACTTCAGCTATTAGCAGCCCAGTTACAACCTGCATGAGAGAAATTCCGTATCAATGTATAATATAATACTTATTTTATGCAGCATTGTTTCATTTCATTTTTTTACCAATCTATGCAACAATGTTTCACTCTTTTACCAATTTATGAAAATGACATCAACTATGTAGCCATATTTCGACTGGTTAAACAGGTTACTGGTAACATATTGCATCTTTTGGTCATATAATGGAATGACATTGTATATATTAGTCTAAAATCACTTGTTGCATAAACTGGTGTGAAGGTGAAATGTTGTTACATAGATGTGTATTTAACCCTTATGCCTATTACATGTACAAAATACTATATTGTTAAACAATGTACTTTGAGAAGAAAAAAGCAACAAGACTAGGGAGAAAAGAGATATATCTATAAATTAATTACAAAAAAGGAAGTACCATATAAATCCAACAAAGAATGCAAGTGATCCCAGCTGCCAAAAAGCCAGCTTCCTGAGTCACTGCAGGAATAGCAAGAATTCCAGCACCTACCTGTTCAGATAATTTAGTTAAGTACTTAAGAAACTACAATTGAGTGATTAGAAAGAAAATAATATGGTGAAAAGAAAGGTCAGCTGTGTGATCTAAATGTCGTTGTAGAATTGAAAATATCAGCAAATTTCAAAAGTGTAGGAATACATAGAGGATAGAGGATATGTTTGGATTCCCTACAAAACTCAGTTTATTGTGTGTGGTTATATATCCATATTATGAGGAATGAATCTTTATTCAAGCAGGTTATTGGATCATGAAATATCTCTGGCTGACTTGCCTTTCGATGTAACAGAAAGGCACAGCATACATTCATTTTGTCTTTTATGATCGTATTTGAGTACCTATTCATGTGTGTATAACTATTAAGTATTAACTACTACATGTTTAAGAAGAAAGAGAGGGGTTACAGTGGTGCCAGCAACCAGAAGAATCGAACTAGTGACGCTTCCTGGAGAGCAGTGGATAAGAATCTGTAAGTCGGTATGAAAACATTGGTCGTAACATTTAATTGGTTTAGAAATTCTTAAGAGGCGATTAGTTGAAAATGTAAATTAGATTAAATACCAGGTTCCCTTTTGAGAGTAGCTCGATTAAGGTTAGAGAAGAGCCTCTCGAATTCAAATTCTACATCGTCTTCTTCGAGTTTTGGTTTTTGTTCGGAAGATTGCTGCTGCTCCTGAGAGGAGAAGCATCTGAATTTGATTAAACCTAATGGTGTACTTGGGGGTAGTAATATTGATGTCTTGGTGTGATGATGATGACGACGGCGTTGGTGATACGAAATTCGAAATACTAACGGCTTGTGATTATCACTGCAAGATAATGGCGGGAAGCAAGAAGGAGAAGAAAAGGCCGCCATGTTAGGGTTTGTGATTACTGGACATTCTTCCCTGCAATATCAACCGAGGGCATCTAACACCAAGTGGTCGCCAAGCTGGGAACGGTATACGTTTGCCACGTAGGGGAAAGGTAGATGCTAATGAATTTAAGCCAGTGGTTATAGCCCCGCGCACGCTGCTCCGAAAACATTGTACCAGACAGAGAACTTTCGGTATACGTCAGTCAAGATCAAGATCGGATCATGTGTTAGATCGTTTCAAGATAGGATCGGATCCTAAGATCCTACAAAATCCAATATAATTTTAATTTATAATTTTTAATCATGAAAAAGATTTCAAACATTCAATTTTTCGTTCAAAGTTATAAAAACTTCAAAATATTAATCATAATTCACATTTCACAACACAAAATGATAAATGGTAAACTGGTAAAAAGTAAAAGACATAAAATGGTAAAAAATATTTCATTTGCAAAAAAAAAAAAAAAATTCAAGGTAAGGTAGGATCGGATCGGATTTCGATCCTACGATCTTACCTACGATCTTACGATCCTACCTGCGATTCTACCCCAAATACGATCTGTTTACGATCCGGATCGTTTTTCATACCTAGGATCATAGGATCGTACGATCAGAATTGCGATTTTGACAACCATGGTATAAATTATAATTAGATATGTTTGGATAAATTAGTCTATAGTTTATTAGTTTATAGCGGTTAGACAGTTTTTGTAAAAGTGTTTGAATTAGAAATAAGCAATAAGCTATAAACAAGTGGATGCTTATTAAAATTAGCTTATTTAGCTTATCCCACCACAATAAGCTGATTTTTAGTGTTTCATATCCAAACACTTAAACTTAGCTTATAGCGGTAGGGATAAACAATAAGCTATAAGCTCTCTCTTTTTTCCGTATCCAAACACACTCTAACTATTATAACATCTTAAAATGTAAGTAAATGATAAATTTAGAAAAAATTAATTATTATTATTTTTAAAGAAAGGCCAAAAAATTCAAAAATAACCTAAATATCCACAATTTTTGTAAGTGAGCGTCTCAGGAATGTCAACAGGGGCAAACGTGACGGGGTTGCATTCCCCGCCAACACCCCCACCCCCGATTTTTTTTTAACAAATATCCCCCATACAGGATCGGGGCCCAATGAGACTTTTAGACATCCCTAGAGTGTTTAGGTGGCGGTCGAAAATCCAATTTTTTGTCCAACTTTGAATATTATTCATAATTTTTCATATGAACCTTGTTTGAGGTGATTTTATTTTCATTGTGTTTTTTTATCATAAGAGTTATCTATGAACAATATCACACTCCAAATTTGGTGATCGGAAAGTCATTTTTTTTTAATTCCAAGGTAGACAACCTAGTGAGAAATATGAAAATTGACCCAACTTTAAACATTCATAACTTTCGCATATGAACTATGTTTGAGTTGATTTTGTTGTTGTGTTGTTTGTAACACTTACTATCCATGAACATACCACACTTCGAATTTGGAAGTCGGAAAGTCATTTTTTAGCTCAAAAGAAGGCTACTTGGTGAGAAATATGAAAAAAAAATCAACCTTGAACCTTCATATTTCGTATATGAAGGGGTTCACATTGTGTTCTTTGTAACAACGACTATCTATGGACATATCACACTCAATATTTGGATATCGGATAGTCGTACTTTCTAAGCTCAAAAGTAGGACAGTTTGTGTTTTTTGAAAATTTTCCAAAGATCACCTTTTTTATATGTGTATCGGGATGTCGTACTTTTTATATGTAGTTTTATTTGAATAAGGATATAACGAGTAGAATTAACATAAAAGTGGGCATTCAACTTGATTTCATTATAATTATTCAATTACAATAGGGGTAACACGACCATTACCTCATTTAGTAATTCCCATTATGGAGGAGGCACTAGAGGATTCATTGATGGAAATAGTGTCCGTAGTCACAACAGTTGGTAACATTATTGTTAATAGCACAGTTCTTTCGGGTTACATGTAAGGGAATATATAAGTAATATTGACATGATAGTTTTATTAGGGGTCTAGTTTGTTAATTGATTAAGTATTTAATTAATTAATAAGAAACTTGTAGACTTAAGGGGTTTAACTTTAAAGATCTGAAAGTCAGATCTTTAGTATAATTACCAAACTTATGGATAATTACTTAGTGACCAATTAATTATCCCAGAAGGGTTCAAAACCCTCCCATATAAATAGAGGAGCCTTAGGAACTACTTTTAAGTGATTCCAACCAAAAAAAAAAAATTCCTGGCTTCTATCCTCTCATAAAAACCTTGATTTACTCCAAGTTCGAATCGCGAGTATTCATACTCTGCGTCGTGAAGCCTACGACATAACCCTAATTGTATAGGGTTTACTACTTTATGGTTCGAGGATGTCATGCATTGCTGGATCTGCTTCGTGGGTGAGACTACAAAAAGGAATTATAGTTTGGGCTCTTAACAATCCTCTCTCTCAAGAGCTTGGTAGTTTTCAAAGAACTACAAGGGTATGTATTGTTGATTCGTCTTTATTTTGAGTTGCACTAAATTTGGTTGAACATGGATCTGACTATTGGGTTTATGAGTTATTTGTTTTGTTTTGTATACTTCCTTTGTGCGCCTTTATGGCCAAAAGATCTGTTGGGTTATGAGAAAAACATCAATCCTATGGTGCACATGCAAACCCTAAAGCTTTGGATCTAGTTTTTCTATTTGTACATGCAATAATCATCCAAAGCTTGTAAACCCTAATCTAGCATACAACAAAAAATCAAAACCTACATCTAATGAAGAGTTAGGATATTACCTTTGATTGTAGCTTGATGATATTGAGCTTTTGAGAACCTAGCACCTCAAATGTGATGCCTCTAATATATCACAAACACCAAAGCAATTGGAGAATCTTGGAGAGAGAGGGAGGAGGCTCAAAATTCGGCTGGCTATCCTTATTAGGGTTCAGTGGCCGATTTTGGCTATCCCAAGGGTTCCTTATATAACTGAGCAGTTAGGGTTTCAGTCAAAACCCTAATCCAGTTGCTTAGTCCTTAAGCAGCCCAAAGGATCCTTCCAGAAGGTCCTTGGACGTTTTCTATGTGGACTCCCATATAGAATTCGTCCATTGCTTCCTTATGGATCCTAAGCCCAACTTTGTAACTATCTTATAATTACAGTATCAGTCCCCTTGATTTAATTAATCTCTTTTGACCACAAAATTAATTCTAAATTAATTATTGACCAATATTAATTAAACAATATGATTTCTTTTTTAATATATTATTCAAATAATATATTAATAAATCACTTTTATCCTCTTTCTCCATTATTCTTCCAGTCAAGTTGCTTTGGTGAAGGCAACCCAAAAGGACCATGCTACAACCGGGTCAAGTACATACCAAATATAGTTATGGGCTTAGACACCTAATCCAACAAGATCCTCATAACCCAATAGTAGTATCAGAGCCACTTGTTCACGTCTAATGCATATTGATTCTCGTTCTGTTTGTTATAACCAAATTTGCATCTTAGTAAAATGATTAGATCGGGTTACTAAAAAAATTAAATTGTTTAAAAGGTTTAGTTTAATATGAACAATGATTAGAGTTTTGATCCACTATGTTTCTGCGTTATCATGACATGAAAGGCTCTCTTTCGCGGTGCGATGACAAGTTTAATCTGAAACCCTAAACAAAAAATTATGCCACGATGTTTTCTGCTTCATGACACTATTTTGTTCGTAGGACGTGGTGCAATGGCTCATCCTTCGTGGCGTGTAGTCATAATTTCTGCATTTGACTCGGATTTTAAAATCTCATACAAATTTGTTGGTTTTACAAATTTAAAGTTGGATATCTCTTTGTTTGTTGTTTTAATTGCTTAATTTTAAATTATTATGTAACATATGGTTTTTGGGTATAAGTCTTATGCTTTGCATCTGTTGAACCCATAAGTGACCCTCCACCGAAGCTCAACAATAAGATGCTGACCGAAAGCTATTATGATCGAAGGAAAGTGAGATCCGGAAGGTGCATGTTCTGAAGGAGGTGTGTAGACCAGAAGAAGTTGACTTATGTTTTGTCTTTTTGTTATAGAAGTTAATGAAGGTGTAATGTCCTAAAATTTTATAACCAAAAATTTCATTTTTGTATTAATAAAACCATCAACCAAACATGTTTATAGAAATCATAAAGGAAATTAGAGTATGTCAACAATCATCCAAAAATACATCAGAGTCAAATAAGGCGGAAAATCATGGTGTAACACCCATAAAATTTGAGCAAATTTAAAACTTTTTAAATCATATAAAACCATTTAGTTATTACAGCTTGTTTTCAAAATAGTTTAAACATTAGAGTTCTCAGAAATCATAAACATAAATCGAGGAAGTGTACGGTCACATCTTCGCCTTCCCGCGGCCATCCGCTGAACCTGAAACAATAAACTGAAACTGTAAGCCCGAAAGCTTAGTGAGTTACCCCCAAAATACCAACCTCATATAACCATAATCATATCATATCAACAAATACAGAACAACCATGCATATCGAGTCTACCTTGTGACTAGTCCGCCCGCACCGGGCCTTCAGTCCACCTGGTCCACTCTCTGAGTCTACAGTATGACTGGTCCGCCCGCACCGGGTCTTCAGTCTATCTGGCCCACTCTCCGAGCCTCGGCACGTCTGGACCGCCCTCTCTTAGCCTTCAGCCTATCCGGACCGCTCGCCGGGCCTTCGGCCTGACTATGTGCCCTCCCGGGTCTGCAGTCTATCCGGTCCGCCCTGGGTATGTTGGCCTACAACACGAAGCAGGACCCGCCTCAACCCAACCCCCAATCAAACAACCATGTGCACATATTGTTGGGTTTTTGAGCATTCTAACACTCCTATGGTGTACATGCAACCCTATAAACCTTGGATCTATGTTTTCTCTATTATACATGCAAATATTAACTATTCCAAGGTTTCATCCTAACTAGCATATTATGAAGCACCTATACTACAAAGTTCTAGTTAGATGACATACCTTTTGATGTAGCTTGATGTCTTCAAGATTTAAGAGCTTAGCCCCAATAGTGTGGAAGCCTCAAATGGAATCACAAATCACCAAAACACCTTGGAAGAACTTGAGAGAATATGTATGCACACTAAAATCGGCCCACTCTTATTTTCACACACTTGTGCCAATTTTGTGAGCCAAGGACCC